GGGGGGGGGGGCGTGTGCTTGCCTGGGACCGCCTAAGAAAATCCTGCATGAATGAGGGAGCAGGGATGCTCTGGAAAACAGCAGCTACTTCTGTATTTCCATCCTCTCCCTAGTGAAAAGCAGCCACTGAGACGAGCTTCCTTTCCTGCCGCACCTGCCAGAATCGTCCCCCTCTCCCTCTGCAGAGGGTGCCGTGGCTTGGGAGAGCCTGTATTTGCACGTGGGCCTGCTGGCCAGCTCTCCGCACCAGCCGTGCGCTTCTAGCACAAAGAAAGGCAGGGCTCTACGTAGGAATGCAACGCACCCTGCAGCTCCCCTAGGAGCCAGTCCCTGAATGGAAGTTGCAGCCACTTTGTGCATTGGGGAGGCTAACTCGGGAGTGAAGAAGGACTCGGTGGGCAGATTAGGGTCTCTTCCGGGGCAGCCTGCAGGGCTCCTGCAGCAGCACGACCCCCCCGCTCAGGCGTGGTCAGACAGGGGCCATGTAGAAAATGTCGGGGGTTCTGCGTGGCTGCTGAGAGTCGCATGTGATGGCAATGCTTGGTCTTCCTCCTGCTGCAGTAATTCTCTGGAAAGCTCCTCCATCCAAGAGCCTGCGGCACGGAAGAGGAGTAGGAGAGAGGTTCTTGCCAGTTGAGTCAGAACCAAAGTCCTGCTGGAGGCTTAAACGAGACGCAGCGGGAACGTGAGTATGACGCTGCGGGGAGCGGGCACCCTGGTTGCTGCTGGGCTGGAGCTCGCAGTCCGTGATGTGGGCTCCCAAAGGGAATAGCCTCGTGCCGCTTACTTTGACCTGTCAACCCAGAGGGCAAAGCACAGGCCTAGGCCGGGACTCAGCTACTCCTGGCGCGTCACGAATAGAAACCAGGAATCCCCCTGGAGCGGGGTCCAGTCTCAAGGGCCCTCCCCCAGTGAGGAGCTACTGCGTCGGACAAATACACGAGTAGGAGTGAAGGCCAAAGGGCTAACCTGAAGGAGCGGGATGGGGACACCGAGCACAGCGCCGGGAGCCGGCGATCGCCTCCTGGAGGAACTCTGCCCGGATGCGTGAGGGACAGAAATAGGCCCTGCAGCCGCAGGTCCTGCCCTCAGCCAACTTTAACTCCCTGGTCTTCAAAATGGCCACCGCCAGGAGGAGGTTCTGCCACTTTGTGGGGCCACGGACGGGGTGCGCGGAAATCAAGAGGCGAGGGGAACGTGCACAGGAGCCGGGGGAGGGGCTGTCCTGCTTCCTGGGAGGCAGCTAAAGCCCCCAAGGAACCTCCATTACTACTGCGCCTGCCGTGCGTTGGAGGGAGGCGCCGCTCTTCTGCTCCCAGGCCCCCCCGTTCTCAGCAGCCAGCGCCTGAGAGCTCGTCCCCTGGGTCAGGACGCGGTGTACCCGCCACGCTGCAACTGGCTCCTCGAGAGGCTCGTGTGAGGCAGGCTGGAGCAACTGTTCAGGGAAGGAAAACGAAAGTGGCAGCCGGGGCCTCGGCCAGCGTGGAAGAGCCTCGTTCCCACCTCTGCGAGGGGCTAGCTCTCCGTGAGGCCTGCGTCCTGTTGCCAAGTGAAGTCAAGGAGCCTCGGGAAGTCGGGGCGCTAGGGCCGGAGCTGCTGCGGAGTTTTCCAAAGCACCTCGCTTACCCCTCCCTCTTTGGGTTTATTCTTGTTCCCTTTTGGCCCAGGGCCCGGGGGTGGTTGCCAGGCTGAGCGTGGGTTTGTCTCATGCCGCTGTCATTGGCAGACAGTGCGTGTCTGCCCATTTGCTGCCTTTCCGGCAAGCTAATATTCGCTGCAGCAGCGAGGGCCTTCCCGCTCAGTCCAGGGGCTTACCCCTCCCTCTCCAAGGGGAATGCCGGGTGATTCTTGTTCCCTTTTGGCCCAGGGCCCGGGGGTGGTTGCCAGGCTGAGCGTGGGTTTGTCTCATGCCGCTGTCATTGGCAGACAGTGCGTGTCTGCCCATTTGCTGCCTTTCCGGCAAGCTAATATTCGCTGCAGCAGCGAGGGCCTTCCCGCTCAGTCCAGGGGCTTACCCCTCCCTCTCCAAGGGGAATGCCGGGTGAGCGGGATCTGCTGCTGCACGCTGGGGTAGGTGCACTGACACAACAGAGCTGTCAGCTGCCACTCTGGCCTCTGCGGTAGACCTGCCCCAAGGAGCTGCCACTCTAAACGAGACACAGGCAACAAGAAAGTGTTCGGAGCGCCTTGGCCGGGGTCCCAAGCCCTGGAGTGGACGTAGAAAGTGAACACGCCCTGAGGTCCAGCTCCATGCTGCGAGCAGCCGCCCGTCCATCCTTCAACGGCGAGCGGAGCAGGAGAAAAGGGGCCCTGACCCAGGCTGTTGTGGGTTTTCCCTTCCCTCTCCAGAGCTGAGCTGCTCCTAGGCTGGAAGCTTTGCATGGAGTTGCTCTCAGGCAATCCTGTTGCGTTTACCGGCCGAGTAGGGCTTGGCCTGCTGTAAGCTCCAGACTGCTCCCCTCCTGCACTTCTACTTCCCTCCTTTCTCTCCTCTCGCCCCTGGATCCCACAGGACTTTACAGACAGGCGCTCCCCTGGCTTACAGATGTGGAACCAGGGCTACCCGCGCAGGAATACGCCTGAACGCGAACGCTGGCTAAAAACCACCTAAGTGACATTGGACCTTAGCTTCCCTGGAAAGTCCATGGACCTCCACCTGCTCACCCTGTTTCTAAAACCCCCCGGTACTTAGGAATGTAAAGTGCACTCCAGGGCTGTGTCTACATTGGCATGATCTTGCGCAAATACTCTTTAACGCAAGAGAGCGTCTACACTCGCATGTGCCTTTGCGCAAGAGCATCCGTGCCACTGTAGACGCTCTCTTGCGCAAGAAAGCTCTGGTGGCCATTTTAACCATCGGAAGAAATTCGTGTTGCCCGTCTACACTGGCCTCTTGCACAAGAACAGCTGCGCAAAAGGGCTTATTCCTGAGCAGGAGCATCATAGTTCTTGCGCACGAAGCCCTGATTTCACACATTAGAACGTCAGTGCTCTTGCGCAAGAACTCCCCGCCAGTGTAGACAGGCAGCATGTTTTTGCGCAAAAGCGGCCGCTTTGGTGCAAGATCGTGCCAATGTAGACACAGCCCAGCAGTTTCCTCCTGGTTAAGAGAAAATAAATGGCTCTTAATGGGACCACCATGGGCCAAAACGCTAGATTCAAAATTGAGGCCATTAAGTGAATGCTCTTCGTGAATGCCCTCCCTGAAACCAGTATGAGTGAAAGGGTGAGGAACATCCTTCTGCGCTGCAACTCACCCGGAGCAGCTGCGAGACGTAGGAAAGGAAACCTGCTGTAAGGAACAGCAAAGTAGCAGGGTGCACAAACTAGTTTTTCAAAAAATGTGATTCAATTCTGCTAGGAAAGCCCAGGTAAGGCAGCATGCTTAAATCTCTAGGGATGTAAAATCCCGTTTAATTGGCTAACTGGCTAAACACATTGGCTGTGTCTAGACTGGCAAGTTTTTCCGCAAAAGCAGCCGTTTTTGCGGAAAAACTTGCCAGCCGTCCACACTGGCCGCTTGAATTTGCGCAAGAACACTGATGATCTCATGTAAGATTGTCAGTGTTCTTCTGCAAATACTATGCTGCTCCTGTTCGGGGGAAAAGCCAGTGTAGACAGCTCAGTACTGTTTTGCGCAAAAAAGCCCCGATGGCGAAAATGGCGATGGGCTTTCTTGCGCAAAACCACGTCTAGACTGGCACAAATGCTTTTCCGCAAAAAGTGCTTTTGTGGAAAAGCGTCCGTGCCAATCTAGACGCTCTTTTCCGCAAATGCTTTTAACGGAAAAACTTTTCCGTTAAAAGCATTTGCGGAAAATGTCAGTCTAGATGTAGCCATTGTTTAACCAGTTAACTAATTAAGGGGGGGGTTGCTCCAGTTGGCCAGAAGCACCCCCCCTCACTGCCCGTGGGGGGGGGGGAAGGAGGGAGCTACTCCAGTGCCAACAGTTAGCCTTAATGGGTAAGCCTACCTCCCTAAGGTAAACCTTCCCCAGCCCTCCTCCCAACCATCAGGAAGGGTCATGCCACATGTGCTGTAGCTCCTACTGTGGCTTTAGATGTAGGGGTCAGCGTTCCCTGCACTGTTTTGTATCCAGGTCTCTGTAGATGCTGTTCATGCTTAAGGCAGAATAGGCTCTTTAAAGCCAGTGACTCTCCAGCCGGCTTTGGAAGCCATGCAGTGGCTGGAAGCTTCCAAAATTATCCCACTAGATAGCAGCGGTGATCAGGCGCCTGAAATAGCTTTGGCAGTTTCTCTTTGTCAATGTTACTGTCCCCTGGGCTAATACTGCTTGGCATGGTCTCAAAATGGGTGTCACTCATCTGGTATCTAGTCAATGGTGCACAGAGGGCAGTGGCACCCTGGAAACATTAGTGGTTTTACATCATTTTCCCCTCCTTCTCCCTGTTGGTGTGAAAGACTCACCAGTCTCAGCCTGCTCCTGCAAGTGCTGATGTTAAAGTGAAGCCTGTAGAAGTTAGGCCCTTTGGCCTTTATCCTGGTAGGATGGGCCCGATTATAAAGGGGAGGGAAACCATGAAACTGACCCCAACCAGTCTGCTGATAATGAGGAAAGATGGTGACAAAGTTGCAGTGCTCAAAGCTCCTTTACTCCAGCTAAAAACTGCACCGTGACAAGGACCTTTCTGCAGGGGATCTCAAAGCTCACACAGTTAAAGGCTGGGCAGGAGAGGAATATTTTCTCCTTTTTTGTGTTAAAGGGCAGCTAGTCAATTTCCTGGTGGCCACAGAGCAAGGGGAGAGAACCCAGGTCTGTGTCTCACCCCTGATCACGCTTTTCATTTCCTGCCCATTTCCAGCGGAATGGAGTGGGGAAGGAATCCGTTCCAACACGGTCGTCTCCACCTTTGTGTCTGAAATTCAAGCTTGTGAGAGTGAGTCAGAATTTCTCAGCTGCCCATCTGGCAGGCCCCAGCTGCAAGTGGGGAAAAAAACCCCCCACTGCTGCCTCAAAAGCCATGCAGTTTGAAAGCAGCAAGTCAGAGAGGAAAATTAGCCTGACACAGCCATTTGCATCTGGGCTGCCTGCCCAAGGCTGTCAGGTCTCACTTAAGAGGCCACGGTCTGGCTGCCCAATGCCAACCGGATGTAGCAGGGAAGGAGCTTGAACAGCTACCTACAGGGCTGCCTCCATGCCGTTCACTAATCAGGTGACATGGAGGCAGGAAGTTCTCGGCTGTCGATTTGGACCTCAGCAAGAGCGGTGCTGGAATGTCATTTCTAACAGTTATCAGGCTGTTATTCACCACCGGGGTCAGCCAGTTCAGTGTTAACAGTCTCATTAAGCACCTGACAAGAGGGCGTGCAGGCTCTGGGGAAAGGGCTGGAATGGGAGACAGCCAAGGACATGCCCCTCGGCCATGGATATCGGTCAAACCGGACAGTCTACGGGAAAGAATTAATGGACACACAGCAGACAGGCAGGCTCTGGGGAAAGGGCTGGAATGGGAGACAGCCAAGGACATGCCCCTCGGCCATGGATATCGGTCAAACCGGACAGTCTACGGGAAAGAATTAATGGACAGCCGAAACGGCACCACCAACACCGGTGGGAGAACGCTGTAACTGGCCGGGCACTCATGAAGCTCAGCGTCACTGTGTCTCAGGCCAATTCCACAAGCCAACTACACAGGGAAGTGTTGGAACTGAACTTCCTTTAGAAGCGTGGGAGCTGTCACAAAGGTCTGACTATAGACACTGCCTGGCTAGCACAGGGCCTTCCGCATCCTAATGGCTTAAGGACCCATTGTGGAGTTGGTTAAGAACAATTTGCACCTTCTCTAGCAGCTTCTTGTAACTTGAACACTAGTTTTTCCCCTCCCCATTTATTTTTGGATCTGGACTTTTAATACTCCAGTCATCTGAAGTGGGTTGTGCCCACGAAAGCTCACGATCCCATCTCCATGTTTTGTTAATTTTTAAAGTACTGATAGACTGTGTTGTTTTTTAAGTTTGACCAAGGAAAGAGTTACTGCTCTCCTGTGAGCACGCCCTGCTCCTAGTAGTGCTGGGAACAGATCCTAGAGCACCAATGCCTGGTCCCTGCGATCCTAGAGCACCAATGCCAGCTCCCTGCCCTGTTCCAGCCACTGGATGCAGCTTCCTTCAAGCGCGCAGCAATAACGTTGTGCAGAGGAAAGCCAGACTGCCTGTTTGGCTCTCAACTCCACCAAAATCTCCCCTTGCCTGCTGCCATTTGTATCACCAGTCTCCTGTAGGATCCAACCCTTATGTTCAATCAGCTGGACCCAAGAGATGAATGCTGGTTTAGCATCCTCAACTGCCCCAGCAGAGACAGTAATTTTGTTGCCCTGCTGGGTAGGGTGCACTTATAACCTGGAGATTAATAAGGCTGAGACTTTTCAGCTTGGAAAAGAGGAGACGAAGGGGCAGATAGGATCTCGGTCTATAAAATCACAGCCAGGGTGGAGAAAGTGAATAAGGAAAAGTTATTGACTTGTTCCCGTAACACACAAACTAGGGGTCTACCAATGAAGTGAACAGGCAGCAGGTTTAAAACAAACCAAAGGAAGTTTTCCTACACGCAGTGCAGTGTCAACCTGTGGAACTCCCTGCCAGAGGATGTGAAGACCAGGACTTTAACAGGGTTCACAGAAAAGCTAGATAGCCATTGATGGAAGCTAACCTCTGTGAATCTATTAGCCAGGATGGGTAGAAACTGTGTCCCTAGTCACTGTTTGTCAAAAGCTGGGAATGGACCAGCTGATTAGTCCCTGGTCTGTTCGTTCCCTCTGGAGCACCTGGTATTGGCCACTGTCAGAAGACAGGATACTGGGCTAGATGGACTTTTGGTCTGACCCAGTCTGGACGCTTTTATGATTCCAACTGGCTGTGCGGTTTTATTTAAATAAGCACTGTCACTGCGTGGCTGACCCTGATTTCATTGTAAGAAGTCTGAAGGGGAAGTGGGTTTTACACATGAACACTCCTGATCCGATATATTTGTTAGTCTCCAAGTTGCCACAGGACGCCTCCGGATTTCACTGGTCACCAACTATTAGAATCTCAGTAGTTCTTTCCCAAGTACTTAGGTTTTGGAGTTAACGGTCCAGTCCAGCCTGCTGAGGCCCCTTCTTGGCAATGGCAGACCCAGCGCTGCAGCTGCGTAAGTTAGGAAGGTTTCCGAATTGACAGCAACACGTTCCCTACAATGGCACGACATCTCCGTCGGCTTAAGCAGAAAGCCCAGGTGCAGGCCGCGATGCAGCGCCCTCGCCTCGTGTTCCGTCTGGCAACATTCTGTGAGCTTTCTAGAAACCACTGCTGGAGGGACGACAGCTGAAGCCCCTGCATGGGATCCTAAAGTATTTTAAACAATGAAGGCTGCCCCCTGCTGAGGGGAAAATACAGCCCGGGCTGCTTAAGTGACTTGCCCAAGATCAGCCACCAAGCCAGTGGCAGAGAGGGGAAGAGCACGTGAAGGTGTGATGTTATATGCACCCAGGCTTCAAGCAGGATTGGTGCAAGCCGCAGGCAGACACAGTGCTCGCTAGCCAGGGATTACTCGCACCACGGCTCGGCTCTTGTAGCGGTGAGCCTAGAACACTGGACTCTGAAGCTAGCACTGGACACTAACCTCCCGGATACTTCACTTGCTCTCCTCAGCTGGGAAGTCAAAATAAAGCGGCTGCTGTCTGCTCTGGCCCTGCCTCTCTTGCCATCTAGTTCACAAATGCCCAGACCCGTGACTCATGCTGCACCACGATCTGTCCCGTTGAGTAGACAACCACCACGACACATTAACTCCAACCGCTCTACACCTTGGAGTCCATCAACGGCTGCAGAAGGGAGCGATTCAAAGAGAAAAAGTAAAATCAGGATTATAAATCTAAAATTTTATTGAGACAAAAAACAGACAGAGCTTGGTATGAAGTTAAAATCCAAACACTTACTTTACATTTAAACAATGTTTTCACAGAAACCTAAACACATGCGTTTAAAAAAAGGTTTGTACAATGCAGTTCTAGATACATGTCACCCTACAAGGAGGTGCCAGGGGCCTGTAGGAGCGCTCATGACTCCAGACGTTAAATAGTTCAGTATTTTTCATAAATCCGTTTGATTAAAAAAACCAGCAGCAGAGCCAGAGAGCTGGCTCGGGCGCTGAAGTTGGGGGCTTGAAAACAAATCACTTGTATGGGAGGATTCGGAATTGATTTCACCTCCCTCCTACATGACACTAACAGGATTAAAAACAGGGAGGGACATCACATCCAGCGAGGGGTTCCCAGTGCTGCCAGCTGGACAGGCTCCAGTGGGGCTTGACAAGAAATCCGAACTTTCTCTCCCTCATGTCAGAAATAGCACCTTAACGGAAAGGGGGCAGAAAGGCTGGGAAGGGACCGAGATCGATTCCCTCCCCCTTACAACGCACCTTTCAGCGACCCTGGCACTAACTACCGGCCTGCCTCTGTGCAGGTGCCCCCAGTAACATTGCTCGAGGGAATTCACAGCTTCAGTCTCATACACTGTCCCCGCCCCCCACTTCTATTACCAATACTTGGGGGGTTCAGTTCGTAAAGCTGTTATAAAAAAGAGTTCTGGTCATGGATATGGAACACTGTCGACTGCTCCCCCACCCCATTAAACAAAAGACCCCCCCCCTCTCCCAACCCCGTCTCAAACTGATACACCAGTAATAGCAAAAAGAAAAACCTACACACATGCTACGCTGTAAAAATGCAGAGTTAACACTATTGGGAAGAAGGCTGTGGGTTGCCGAGATGGTCTTTGAAGAACATGCAGTATCCATCTGCTCTCCCTTTCCCCAGCCTACCCATCACCAGTGACGGGTCTTTGAGGAAGCTGCAGAACAAACTGCCTTGAAACGTGCCTCCCCCCACCCCCCACTGGCTGGGTCGAAGCTGGACGCTGGCATGGAGCTGCACAGAAACCATACTGTCTCTTCAAAGGGCATCTTCTCAAGCCACCTCTCCGCTAGGTAGAGCTGTATTCTCACGTCGCTCAAACCCACAGTCTGCTCTTTATACAAAGATGGAGGCGCGGGTTAGTTCTTGTCCTCTTTCTTGTCGTCGTCTTCCGAGGGGTAGGAGTGCCACGTCAGCCTCTCCTCGTAGAACGAGATGACCACCTGGGGGCACTTGATGTTGGCTTCCTTCGCAGGGACCAGGTCGGCCTCGTCCGAGTTCTTCCTACAGGAAGCAGAGACGCAGTGAAGGGGCTGAGGAGTCACCCAAGAGGCAGTAGGTAAGTCCAGGCAGGCCTCAGCCAGCGACCCTCCAAATGGCTGAGAGGCAGGAAGCCCACCCAGCAAGTGGGTTTGTAGGAGACTGTGGGGAGCCAGGGGGGTGTGTCTGCTGCAGCCCCACCCCCCAGCTCATCTGCAGCACGCAACGCCACGCAAGCCTAGGGGGTCCCACCACAGTCGGGGCTGAACAGACCTGGAGGGCCCCAACTCCGCCCGGGGAAGCGGTCTGCTGTAGCTCTAGTCCAGGCACAGGCCTGAGGCCAGCACGGGCCAGCCGTGCCCTCCTCCCCCAGGTGTGCGCGGTGGCCGAGATCAAGGATCCCACCTGCTGACAGCAAATCCACATTAGCCTCAGCGCCAAGGGTGCAGTGAGGTGGCAGCGCCACCCTGGGAGATTTCAGGCCAGCGGGCAGGGAGCTGCGCGCACACTCACCATTTCATCAGGAACATGAGTTCCCCGCTGGAATCCGTGGCCCCGATGATCCGCTCCGGTTCAAAGCCCCGGGCAAAGCCGCGCGGTTTCTCCGACTGAAAGACAGAGAGGGAGGTGTCTGCGTGCTGCCAGGCCGCGTGCGGCCGCTGTGTGACTCAAAGGATGCAGGCACCCCGGCTGGCTTCAGGCCCGGCTGAGTCTGTGGGGAACGCTGGACTCCCCAGGCACTACGCGGGGTCCCGCCCGGGCTGAGGCACAGCAGCGATGCCGGTCTGTGCAGCCCCCATGTACACAGGCCCTGCTCTCAAGAGCCGTGGTCCTACAGTGTGAGAGACCTTCTCCAGGCACTGTTCATCAGCCCAGGAGGAGGAGACCAGAGAGAGCGACCCACCCTTTTCTGGGCTCATCTGTGCACATGTCTGGCAACCCACCAACCCTTGGGGGGCAGCAGGCACTGGCTGGGTTCTCTGCTTTGTGCCCCCCTCTCCTGCCCTTCCTTTGACTTGATGACCTGCACCCAACCCTGTGCTGCATGTTTCCCTCCCGGTCCTCGGGCCACTGGGGTCGGTGTGGGGACTGTGGATGCTCTGGGGGACTCTGTCCACCATCCCAGGAGGAGAGCTCCGGTCAGCCCTAAACACTGTCCCAGATTTAGCAGCTGACCCGTGGCTCAGAAGGGGGCTTCATCTCTAACCGCCCCCATGCCAGCAGGGCCTGGGAGATGAGACAAGGGTTTTGCTCAGCTACGGATTTCAAAGCACTTCCCAGACACAACTAGCCACTCCGTGGGTTGGCGATGTATCTCCTAAGAACGGCCAGACTGGGTCAGACCAAAGGTCCATCTCGCCCAGGGTCCTGGCTGCCGGCAGCGGCCAGAGGGAGGGAACACAAAAGGGAATCTTCAAGCAATCCCTCTCCCATCACCCATGCCCAGCTACTGACAGAGGCTAGGGACACCATCCCTGCCCATCCTGGCTAATAGATTCCTGGAGGTTAGGTCCTCCAATGGCTATCTAGTTCTTTCTTGAACCCTGTTAGGTCCTGGTCTTCACAACCTCCTCTGGCAGGGAGTTCCACAGGTTGACTGTGCACAGTGAAGAAAACCTTTTGTTTGTTTTAAACCTGTTACCTATTAATTTTATTGGATGACCCCAAGTTCTTATGTTAGGGGAACAAGCAAATAACTTTTCCTTATTCACTTTTTCCACACCAGTCATGATTTTATAGACCTCTAGCCTATCCCCCCTTAGTTTCCTAAGAAGAAAAGTCCCAGTCTCTTTAATCTCTCTTCATATGGGCCCTGTTCCAAGCCCCTCAGCATTTTGTTGCTCTTTTCTGAACTTCTTCCAATGCCAATATATCTTTTCGAGCTGAGGCGACCACATCTGTGCGCAGTGTTCAAGATGTGGGTGTCCCCTGGTTTTATACAGAGGCAGTAAGAGATTCTGTCTTATTCGCGATCCCTTTTTTAATGATTCCTCACATTGTTTGTTTTGATTGCCGCTGCACACTGAGTGGATGTTTTCAGAGAACTATCCACAAAGACTCCAAGATCTCTCTTGAGTAGTTGTAGCTAAATTAGTCCCCATCATTTTGTATGTATAAGTGGGATTATTTTTCCAGTGTGCATTACTTTACATTTACCAACATTAAATTTCATTTGCCATTTTGTTGCCCAAACAATTAATTTGGGAAGATCTTTTTGAAGCTCTTCACAGTCTGCTTTGGTCTTAACTCTCTTCAGCAGTTTAGTATCATCTACAAATTTTGCCACCTCACTGTTTACCCCTTTCTCCAGATCATTTATAAATAGGCTGAATAGGATCGATCCCAGTATGGAACCTTGGGGAACATACAAGTTACCTCTCTCCATTCTGAAAACCGACTATTTATTCCTACCCTTTGTTTCCTGTCTTTTAACCAGTTATCAATCCATGAAAGGGTCCTCCCTCTTATCCCATGACAACTTACTTGATTTAAGAGCCTTTGATGAGGGACCCTGTCAAAGGCTTTCTGGAAATTTAAGTATACTATATCCACTGGATCCCCCTTGTCCACATGTTTGTTGACCCCTCAAAGAACTAGTTGATTAGTAAGGCAGGAATTCCCTTTACAGAAACCATGTTGACTTTCCCCAACAAATTATGTACACCTATGTATCTGACAATTTTATTCTTTACCATAATTTCAACTAATTTGCCCAGTACTGACATTAGACTTACCGGTCTGTAATTGCCAGGATCACCTCTAGAGCCCTTTTTAAATATTGGCGTCACGTTAGCTATCTTCCAGTCATTAGGTACGGAAGCTGATTTAAAGGATAGGTTACAAACCACAGTTAATAGTTCCGCAATTTCCCATTTGAGTTCATTCAGAACTCTTGGGTGAATGCCATCCGGTCCCGGTGACTTGTTACTGTTAAGTTTATCAATTTGTTCCAAAGCCTCCTCTAATGACACCTCAATCCTGGGACAGTTCCTCACATTTGTCACCAAAAAAGTGATCCAGATTTGGGAATCTCCCTAACATCCTCAGCTGTGAAGACCGAAACAAAGAATTTATTTAGCTTCTCCGCAATTACTTTATCATCTGTAAGTGCTCCTTTAGCGTCTTGATAATCCAGGGTTGTTTAGCCAGCTTCCTGCTTTTGATGTACTTAAACGTTTTACTATTACTTTTTGAGTTTTTGGCTAGCTGTTCTTCAAACACTTTTTGGCTTTTCTTATTATATTTTTACACTTAATTTGACAGAGTTTATGGTCCTTTCTATTTTCCTCACTGGGATTCAACTTCCATTTTTAAACAATGCCTTTTTTCTCTCTCTCTGCTGCTTTTACTTGGTTAAGCCATGGTGATACTTTTTTGGTTCTCTGTGTTTTTTAATTTGGGGGTATACCTTTAAAGTTGGGCCTCTATTACGGTGGCTTTGAAAAGTTTCCATGCAGCCTTGCAGGAACGTTTGTCACTGAACCTTTTAATTTCTGTTTAACTAACCTCATTTTTGTGTAGTTCCGCTTTCTGAAATGGAATGCCAGTGTTGGGCTGCTGAGGTCTTTTCCCCACCGCAGGGATGTTACATTTTATGACATTATGGTCACTATTTCCAAGTGGTCCAGTTCTATTTACCCCTTGGACCAGATCCTGTGCTCCACTTAGGGCGAAGTCATGAACAGCCTCACCCATTGTGGGTTCTAGAACCAGCTGCTCCAAGCAGCAGTCATTTAAGAAATTAAGGTATCAAGAAATTTTCTCTCTGCATCCCGTCCTGAGGTGACGTGCACCCAGACGATATGGGCATCGTTGAAGCCCCCCCACTATTACTGAGGTTTTTATTTTGGTAGCCTCTCATCTGCCTTTGCATTTTAGTCACTATCGCTGTCCTGGGCAGGTGGTGAATAATATCTCCCTCCTGCTCTACCCTTATCACTAGAGCATGGAATTACTACCCAGCGAGATTCTACGGAACAGTTCGGTTTGTGCATCATTTGATTCTACGTCGTCTTTCACGTATAGCGGCCCTCCCCCAATGTAGAGCGGGGTGGCCCCTGTCACAGGCTGTCAGCAGCAGGGCTGCAAACAGAACGCGAGGGCCCTGGTTCCCTGCCCTCTGCCCTCGCTACTAGACACTGGCGATGAGTCCAGGAAGTCTCTATGGAAGGGGGTGGGTGCGGAGAGGTTCTCCCCCTCGTCCTGCCTCACCTCTTCCTTTTTCTTCTTTGGTTTGCTCTCTTCCCCTCTGTCCTCAGTGTCGGACTCGGCTTTGCGCTTGCTGCCCTCGGATTTCTCACTCTCGTGCGCAGTTTTCTGGGACTGGAGAAACTCGGCGATGAGGTCGGGGCAGTCGAGATTCTCCTCGGGCTCCCACGTATTATCCTCACTGAAATGGAAGGAGACAGCTTGCTCTCGCAGCTAGAGCCTGGGGCTCAGAGGCACTGGCTGTGTCCTGGGGGCCCTGAGCTGGGAGGGAAGAGGAAGGGCTGGAGACGCTCAGCCTTGCTCTGGTGGGCAGGTCTGACCAGTTTCCATATCAGCCCATCTGCACTTCACTGACAAGCTCAGACCTGGCTTGCCAGGGAGAGGAAGGGAGCCCCCCCCTTCTGCCACGTGTACAAACTGGGTTGACCATCCTGTTCAGAGAGGAGACTGGAGTCTGCCCCAGCCCTCAAACAACCCATCTCGAAGGCACCTCGTGTAGGAAGGAAATGGAGCCTTCTTGCCCCCCCAGCTGGCCGGGAGCTCTCTGGACACAGTTCATCATCTTTCTCCTCACCGTCCCCCTGCAGGGCAGGGCACTTATCCCCGTTTGATCGCGAGGGCACTGGAGCCCAGACCGGCACAGGGACATGCCCAGGGTCACACGAGTCTACCTCAGCAGGGAACTGCACCTGGGGCTCCCGAGCCCCAGACTAACACCCTAAGGCCGCCAGCGCGAGGAGGGGTCACAGAGTGGGCTGCACCCTGTCCACTTACTCCGAGAAGCCTTTCCACTTGAGCAGATACTCCACTTTGCCTTTCACCACTCGCCGGTCGAGGACCTTCTCCACCACGTACTCCTCCTCCTCTTCCTCTAGCACCTCCTCCACTTTCTTCTTGTTCTGCTTTTTTCCCATTGTGCTGGCCAGTTTTTCAGCGTAAGGGCGACGCTGCTGAAGTGGGGAGACACACACAGAGGTCAGGGCGGGGGGCTGTGATCTCCCCAGGGGCGGGGAAGCCGCAGTACAAGGACTGGTCACTGAGGGGCCTTCCCACAGAAGACAGACACACGTGAAAAGGCCTCAGAGGTGGAGCGAGATTGACTGTCCGTCTAAGCTCAGCCACCTCCCTTCGGAGAACGCAATTCAGCACAGCAGGCGGAGGCTTCCTCCTTACCAAGCACCCCCCACTCAGGACACCCCGGCTCGGCTCGCTCCTCCCCCCACAACCTGCCCGTCTGTGAACTGGCCTCCCGCATCTCGCTTCCTTTTAACCTCCTGGCTGGGAATTTATATTCCCTGCCCCCCCATCAAACCCAACCTGTGCGGCAGGGAAATGTCTCCATTTCACTGACGGGCAACGGAGTCCCAGCAACCAAGGGATTTGCCCAGCGTCACAAGGAGTCTGGGGCAGAGTCAGATCACCAGGCTCAGGCCAGGGCCTGGCCACTGTGGGCAGACGGACACTGGGCTGGGCGGACCCCGTCCGGGCGCTGACGCATGCCTTAACCCCGTGTTTCTCAGCGTGGGCACAAAGCTGCCAACGGGCCGCTCTGGTCTGGTTATGTAACGGCTACACAGCCACAGAGCCTCGTGGTTCCCATTGGCTCCGGTTCGCCGTCCGCAGCCAAGGGGAGCCGTGGGAAGTGGCAGGGCCCGGGTGGGCCACACGCTGCCTCAGTCACATGCGCAGCCTCCCTCCCTCCACCTGCTCAGCTCGCCACGCCCAGCGCTGCCCATCGCGCGCCCAACCAATGGAGCGCGGCAGGAGACCAGTGCGCGGCAGACATCCGAAATGGCTGTTCTCCAGGGCACTTCAAGCCACATTGGGCTCCCTGGTCAGTTCTGTATTATACGCCACGGGGAGGGGGCGAGTTCCTGCACACGCTGGGATACGGAGTTAGGGGTCACCCCTCTCCCGCGCCGGTTTAAAGAAGAGCATTTCCATTTCCATCCAGCACCTGTTAGGAAGCAGTGGAGAGGGTGTGGGAGGGAAGTTTTGATATGGCCTCTGGCTAGTCCCTTTGGTGAGGTTTCCTCATCGGCAGAGAGAGGGTAATAACGGGCAGGTATTCCGGGTCCTGTGTTTCCTCTGCACTCAGGAAAAGTCTGCGCGAACGCGGCACGTCCCTGCTGAGGGGTAGCCTGACCCGGCTAGCAAGCCAAACGCATCCCCCCGCCCCCCCCAACGGACACTGCACTCAGGGTGAATCAGCGCGCCACAGCCTGGGACCGCTTAACGCTCCGGAAAGGCAACCTCCCCAGCACCAACTTTCACTCCTCCAATGGAAAGGCCCCGCTAACCTAGTCTCCTTGCAGGACAGCCACGTCTGGAATGAGCCACGGGAGTGGAATTCTGAGCCCTGGAGGATTCTCGGTCCCCGGTAGTAGCCACGCTACACTAGGGCAGCGAACACAGAGCGACCCAGGGATTAGTTGGGGGTAAGTAGGTCTTGGGCTCTGCCCTGGTAAGAGGGAGATCAGAGAGCTCACGCCACCACGTCTTTTGTCACTGATGCACAGTGCTGCACACCGTCAGCGTGAGGGAGAAAGGCCTTGTGACGCCCATTCACAGAGCTACCAAGAGATGAAGTCACCTGCCCTGCACATCTCAGCAAGCCAGTTGCAGAGCGTGACGAGAACGCAGATCTTTTAGCTCCCAGGCCCATCCCCGTTGACTCTGTTAACCAGTTAACTAACTAAACGGATTTTACAGCCCTCATCTTAACCACAGGCTGATGCTCCCAGCGGGGTTACTCCCTTCCTATGCACCCGAACAGCGCGTGCTGCTGGCAGAGGTTTCGCCCTCGAAATGCCACGGAACAATTTGCGATTGGCCCTGATGAACCAAGCAAACGACTGCCGCGAGGTCAGACACGTCACCTGCCAAGAGAGGTTTTCCCAGGTGAGGCCATTTTGACTTGTACGGCAGAAGTGCTGTGAGCTGGGATTAGAGCAGAACGTGGAAAGGCCTCTGGTAGCTGTGCGGAGCCGGCGGGCCCCCTCTGCACCGAGCGGCGGCTCAGCCGTTCAGTGCTGGTTTCGGTACCCGAAGTTGGAGAGAGATGGCTACCGTTCCATGCTGGCAAGGCCGTCCTAGGCTGTGCAGCTGCCACGCAACTGACAAGAGACCCACGGTGGGGGAGGTAACAGCTTTTATTGGACCAGCTTCCCTGGGGGAGAGAGAAGGTTCTGAGCAGCACAAAGCTCTCCTTCAGTTGACAAGACCCTGAGGAGGGAGGCCCAGGAGTGGGCCAAACAGACCTCATACCGGGGGTGTAATTCACCGGAGAGGTCAGCCCTGCCCTAGGAGTGGGGCTCAGGAACACAAGTCAGGAGGTAGCACCCTGCCTGGCTTCCTTATTTTCTCTCTCCTAGAAGAAAATAGGGGGGGACAGATAGTTCAGTGGTTTGAGCATTGGCCTGCTAAACCCAGGGTTGTGAGTTCAATCCTTGCAGAGGCCGATTTGGGGCAAAAATTTGTCAGGGATGGTACTTGGTCCTGCTGTGAAGGCAGGGGACTGGACTGGACTCCATGACCATTCAAGGTCCCTTCCAGTTCTAGGAGACAGGCAATCGCCATTCATTTAAGCTCTGAGCACAGTAAGGTGCCTCTGAGGGCATCTCCCTTCAGCAAAGGCTGAACTCACATTCATCTGGGGCTTGGCCCTGGGACCGCACCTCACACTGAGCCCAGCATGGGAGGTTCTCCAGCTGCTCAGTTCTGGACCATTCACCGGACCCCCAGAGCGCTGGGCAGGCCAGCTGCCATCTCAGCCACAGCAAATGGAGCTGGGTTTGCTGGAAGACAGACTTTCAATCCAGGGGACCCACACAACAGGCAGCACCCCCTTTGTGCCTGGCTCTGGGCAGAGGCACAGGCACAAGGCACCCCCTTCCACACAGAACAGGGATGAGCACTCATTTTTGATTGGGGGAGGGGGCGCATGCCAAGAATGTGGAAAGCGGTGAAGGACCCCACTCCTCTGTGATATCAATGCAGGCGGTACAGGGTCTGGGGTGGAGGTTGGGTGCAGAAGAGAGCTGGGGGGAGGGGACTGGGGGGCAGGAGCAGGGGTACAGAGAGTTTGAATTGTGACCTGGGACAGGGGTGCAGGAGGGGGAGCAGAGGGTTGCAGGCCTGGAGTGCCAGAGGCAGGCTTTGGCCGGGAGGTACTCGCCTAGCCGCCTCTGGCCAGCAGCCCAGGGACCCTGCCTTCCATGCCCCACAGGCTACTCAGCAACCAGCTGGGAAGGGGTGGCGTGGGGGTGGGGGGGGAGAAAATGTGCTCTGCGAGCCACATGCTCCTTGGGGGGCAGGGGGAGAAATAGGTTGTGCACGGCCCAGGAAGCTGAAACTGACCAATGGGAAGGGTAAGTTTATGCTGGGGGTGGTGGCAGTGCATGGAGTCCCTCCCTCCTCCCCCCCGAGGAGCTCTCAGGGCGTGGAAGGCAGGGAGCCTGGCCGAGGCTCCTGGCGGGCCTGATCCGGCCAGCAGGCCAGATTTTGCTTGCTCCTGACAGTCTGGGCATCAGACACTCCCGGAGGCCCAGCCATTTCCTGACGGGAGGTTCCCAGACAGCGGCCCCTCCGTGGCACTCGGCCTCACTGCTGACAGCCCCGCGCTGCTGCTGAGGGGGCGGTTGCAGGATTAGCAGATTCCAGCCCAGCTAATCCGTTACTCTGGTTGCTGCTCAGTGACCTTGGAGCCAGCCCGGGGTCCCAGTGCCCTTTCAAGTGACTAAGGGTCCCACGGCACACGCAGAGCCGGGCACACAACCGAGGCTCCGTTTGCCGGCGCTTAGCAATGGGCTAAAGCTGCGAGGTACAGTGTCAGCAAACTGAAAAGTACAGTTCGGGGCACTCGCTTGGGAGGTGGGAGCCCCAGGTTTAATGCCCCCTCCCCTCGGCCTGATGGGGAGAAGGGACTTGAACTCGGGTCTCCCACGTTACAGGAGAGGGCCACAGCTCCTGGCCTGAGGGGGGAAGCAAGGGGGGAGTTGGGTGATTCAAATTGTGCCACTGAAGCTGTTCCACGTGTGTACATTAAAATGCAGGGACAAAGTATAGCTTGGTGGACAGGACACTCCCAGAGCATGTGGGAAACTCCCAATCCAGCCCCTACTCTGATGCCCGTTGCTACAAAGTGGCACAGGTTCATAGAACACTAGGACCGGAGGAGACCTCGAGAGATCTTCAAGTGCAGTCCCCTGCCCTCACAGCAGGACCTAGGACCATGTAGACCATCCCTGACAGACGTCAATCTAACCTGCTCTTCAATATCTCCAGAGATGGAGACTCCACAACCTCCCCAGGCAACTTATTCCAGTGTTTAACAATCCTGACAGGTAGGAAGTTTTTCCTAATGTCCAACCTAAACCTCCCTGGCTGCAGTCTAAGCCCATTGCTTCTTGTCCTGTCCTCAGAGGCCAAGGAGAACAATTTTTCTCCCTCCTCCTTGTGACACCCTTTTAGATCCCTGAAAACCGCTCTCATGTCCCCTCAGTCTTCTCCTTTCCAAACTAAACAAGCCCAATTCTTTCAGTCTTCCTTCATAGCTCATGTTTTCTAGACCTTTTATCATTTTTGTTGCTCTTCTCTGGACCGTCTCCCATTTCTCCACATCTTTCCTGAAATGTGGTGCCCACAACTGGACACAACACTCCAATTGAGGCCTAATCAGCGCAGAGTAGAGCGGAAGAATGACTTCGAGTCTTGCTCCCAACACTCCTGTTAATGCAAGAAGGGAGACACAGAAATCTACATCAGGATATCCCACAGCCTAGTGCCTAGGGCACTCTTACAGCGTGAGAAACCCAAGATCAAATCCCTTTGGGAAACCGAACCCAAGTTTGCTTCATCCCAAGCGAGCGCTAAAAGTTACCAGAGGCTCTCCTTGCAGGAACAGTGGCTCAGTCCTGAGAAGACAGTGTGGAGGAAGCAGTCTGGTGAA